GAGTTAGCTAGAAACAGTATAGTTTTCTTGAAGTGCCTTTTGCCCTTCAGTAAGCATTGCGAAATAGGCCTTAAATGTTGCAGCATTATCATTACTCGGATACAAATTATGTGCTGTTTTGCATGAAGTTATCTATAACCTATTCTTTTCACTTAGCTTTACTGTACCCTTTGCCAGGCGCTTGAACAAATTGAAGGCTATCTGAAGGAAGAACACAGGCATGCACATATTACGTTCTAAGACTGCAGAACTTCTGTGTTGCATTCTTGTGGTATATTTATTATTTTCCTTTGCAAACATGTTAAGTTTCTCTGGTAACGAAAGATGGTTTGGTCTCGTGTTTATTGTGTTAATGGGGGTTTGTCATGCAAAAGTTAGCAGCAAACATGTATTGTAAGATTTTGAATGTAATGTTAAGTACGCTGTAGCTGTATATATATGTTGTAGCTGTATAATGTTAATTTCTGTACGATGTTCTAGTAAATTTCGGGAACAAGTTTTCTCCTTGAGCAATGAAGTCGTAGCCAAATTTTTTTGCAGATGAAACCTTTGATTGTTAACTGAATTTTGAAATGGATGTTGTGAATGTTCCCTAAGTTGCAGTTGGTTCATTTTTACTTTTCGCAGTGGCAGAAAGCCATCATGCTTATGCATTTTGATTGGGTTTGTCCCCACCAATCTCCCAAACTAGAGTTTGGAATAGGGTTTGCCGTTGATATTTCTAACAAATTAATTTTTTTTCTACTTGTAAAATATATTTTCCGTGTATGCTACAGTTGGGTCATTAAGAAGGAATAATACTCTAACAAAGACCTTTGTATAGAAACAACATTTAACAGTACATTAAAAAAAATAAATAAATATTTGGAGCCCTCTGCGGTCGCACCTATTGCCTTGCTCACAAACTGACCCTCGATGTGATATGGTATGGTAGCGAGTATTAGACGGATAATCTACCAAAAGCATAAAGACATAAAGAAATAGAAGAAAACCCCAAATTCTTGTCTAGCAACTTAAAACAATAAGCATAATAAATAATAGGATGAAGTGTCAATTTAGTCACTAAATTATTACGTCAGTGAAAATTAGGTCTTTGAATTATTTTTTCAGTAAAATAAGTTCTTAAATTCATTAAAAATTTCTAATTTCATCCCTACTTTAGAGTGTAATACCATTCTATTCAAAGCTAATTTATCCAATTTTTCGTCAACTTAAGTCACGTGACATACTTTCGAGTGTAATACTGTTCTTTTCTCGCCAATAAGCCCTTAACATTTCATATAGGTTGTGAATCTAACGTTTAATTTACCCTCTAAAGTTAACTTCATACACTATTTCTTTATGTAAAAGTACCATCTACCCTCCAACGTGTATCACATGCAAGTAACGTGACAAATTAACGGAAAATTGAATATAATAACTTCGAATATAATATTAGGGATGTACTTGGCAGATTTTTATAATTTAAGGATTTGCTTTTTTGAAAAAAAAAATAGTTAGGAACGTAATTTTCACTTAGGTGATAATTCAAGAACTAAATTGGAAATTTACCCTAAATAAGATACTCAAAAGTAGAGGTTTTGCAAATGCTAAATGCTAGGATGCTATTAAGCTCTTGCCACGTCGCGTGACACGTCATCATTTGTGAAATGGTTTTATTGGTCTATGTGTAATATTTGTTAGGAAGTTAGTTTGATCTTTAGCTTGCAACAGTTTATATACTGTGCCCTTGTGTCGAGCAAAGTATGTTGAAGATATTGATTGTATTCTGGTTCTTGAGTAATAGCAATTATTCTTGTGTATACAAATCAAGGTTCGGACGGAGTCTAAAAATAAATGATTTAGGACACACATTCACAATGTGGATTTCGATCTGCTTCTTCATTTGGAAGCAAAAAATTCTAGATAAATGACACTGATTGAACGATTTCTCAAAGAAAAAACAGCAACCAAACCAGAGACTTGAGAACAGTTGTGCGCAAGTATCAAGAGCATAAGAAAGATCATGATGCGAAACCAACTTACGTATGTTCCTCGGAAGCTAGCTCGTACAACTTCAAATTCACTGCTTCCTTCCATACAAGAATCACCGTCTAACATATGCATTCGCACAAACAATCGAAAAAGTGAAGTCCACCGACATGACATTGCACTAAGAAGTTGAGTAAGTAACCATCATTGACCAATGAGTTTGCTGATGGTTACTTACTCAGTTCCGTGGATCTAACTAAATGAGTTTCTCAGCCGCGTGTTGTCCCTTTCACGTATCTCCATGTAATCTGCAAGCAGCAAGTTTTGTGGCCCAAATTATAGCATTTCGTTCAACTACCTTCCCTGCAGTGAGGATGCTACACGCTGTGAGGACGCCAAGGAATGTGACATCGTCAGGCATAACATGAGATTGCCTCCTGTCATCAAAGATCTTCTGTGAAACCCCGTCCTTGATTTATCGTATTTTGTACTATCGGATTTATGAAATCACCATTGTACCCTTGAGTTGACTTTCGTTGACCGTCTCGTCGAAACGCATAGGCTTAAGCTAATTAATTTATTCGTATTGTACTCGTCGTCACAAACGCGTAGGAGTAAATGGATTCGAAATCGGATGTATAACGAAGATTTTACATTCAAACCGTCGAACATTTTTAGATATTTGTGTTTCGTTTTATACATTCGTAAAGTGCGAACCAAGGGGGGACCCACTTGGGATTCTTGTCCCCTTATCCTTCTACCCAATCCGGATTCTCCCTTCCCTTTTGGGATATTTTCTTATCTCCCTCTCTCCCCCTCACTTTCTCTCCCTTCCCTTTTAACTCTCCCCGTGCCCTTTCTTTACGATCTCCCTCTCCTTTCTCCTTGAGTTCACTCTCACAATAGCAACAACCCCAAGACTCAAGGCTTGGACGTTGGACCTCGAAACCCCATGCCAAACTCGATACTTCAACTGTGACAGTCACAGTGCACCCTCCCTTGACAAACTCCGACGACTTTCGTGACTTTTCTGACGTGGGTAAGTTCCTAGAAACCCTTGGGATGTGTTTTAAAGTTAGATCAAGGCTTGTTGCAAGTTGTTTAAGCTTGTTAAACGCAAAAATAGCTCAGAGTGAGTTTTCCCCAGTTTTTCGGCGAGCACCACCACTTTAGAGGTGTTTTTGGGCCAATCCACGACGAGTTAGCCGTTGTGCTAGGTACTATTCTCTTCATATCGTTGAGAACTACAACTTTTATTTTTGTATCACTTGATTTGGTTGAGTATTGAAGAAGTTATGAGCGTTTGAAGGTTTGCCTAGAAACTAGCTGATCCACGGCCTGAAACCAGGTCGACACGACCTGATAACCCTAAAACCCAAATCCAAACCCAACGGCTACCTGGCCCAAACCTTTGGGCCATGCTACCGGCCCAACTCAGAGACCCAGCCCACTGAGCCAAGCCCAACCCAAACCCTTGGCCCAAGCCCAACCTAGATTCCAGTTAGCACGTAGACCTACGCATTGGTGCTTATCTTGGCCAACGCGTGGAGCACACACACCTCTATCGGAGGTACTGTGCTTCGCTGCCGTGGACGATGCCGACAATTTTTTCGACCAACTTTTTGGGGACCCAACGCGACAAGTGCAGGTACCTGAGGTTCCCCATAGGTTTTTAAAGGTCTTGAATTCGTTTATGACGTCCGTTTCCCAAAATTCAATCATTTTAGTATAGTTTTATTAATTGGTCCCTTTATGTGCTTAGGTGCATTTGTTAGTGGCGTTTCTGTCCTCCCTAGCTCGCACGGCTCTTTGACTACGGAGTATCTGCGAGTGGACCTCTTCTAAAATGCATGATTTTACTATTAGAAATGCATACATGAAAAGCTTGATTTTATGATAACGATTATAAGAAAATTGAATTAATGCTTTGTAAAATATCATGCTTCAGATTTATGCTTATTGAGATATTCACAAATAATGATTTAAGATATGATGTTTGAGCTATTGAGTTTCGTTGAGATATTTACATATATTTTAGAAATATTATGTTCATATTTTATTGTGCTTATTCAGTAGTTACTCATATATGTGCCTATGGGCGAATGATATCTATATATGGCTTTGGTCGGGTGCTGTAGGGGCCTACGGGTAAATGATATCTATATATGGCTTCGGTTGGGTGTTTTAGGGACCTACATGCGAATGATATCTATTTATGGCTTTGGTCGGGTGATGTAGGGGCCTATGGGCAAATGAAGATATATATATATATATATGGCTTCGGTTGGATGACATAGGGGCCTACGGGCTAATGAAGGCCTTCGGACGATTTTGATACCACTACTAAGCACACTATATATGATATATGTTTTATGAAGTTTTATGGCATGCTAGGGTTTTCGGAAAAACGTATTATACTATTGAGTTTTCATAAACTTTGGGGGGTTAGTACATTGATGAATTACTATTTTAGTATTACTTATACTTGGTCCACTCATGTTTTGTTTTGCGCCCCCTCAGGACCTAGGAGCGAGGCATATGATCTGAGCTACGAGGCATTCCCCATACCAGTGACTTTGTGTCCTTTCCGCTTGGACATTCTTGTGATAGCACTTTCTGTTACACATTCCGCTTGTATTCTGAATTAGTAATTTGCTCTAAACATGTCATGCATTATCACTATTATTTTGTTGGCAATTGAACTTATTATATTATTTTGTTAAGTTTGTATTTGAATATTACATTGCGTAGTTATGCGCGAAATTTATATGCATGTTTCACATGTTCTCGACATATGCATTCATGAAATGGCTTGCGTCACCTCGGATGTTGGCCAACACGTGGCCATGCCGTTGTCCTTCGGACATTAGGATTAGGGTGTGTCATCTTCAAAGTTGAGATTAACTGGTACAAATACAGTAAGATTTAACTAGTAAAACTAACCAAATGTATCTGAAATTTGGAATAAGACACGAGCATATATAAAACTAACCAAATGCTTCTGAAATTTGGAATAAGACATGAGCATATATAAAAATTACAACTTTATAGATGTCTAGAAATCATAATTTCATCATCCAAGTTGAGCTTGCAGCCTTTGAAAGCACTGAGAAAGTGAAAAAAAATCTATGCCACATTGATGGAAAAAATAGGTGTAAGACCGTACAGGGACATGCGAGTAGAAAATTTCACAGTTGAGCTAGACTAATTAGTAAAATTTTAAGGAGATACATTTTTCTCTCTCACATTTGTAGGCATCATCCACTATGTATTGATTTGTGTCATCCGAACAAAGAATGCAAGTATGAAAGAAGAAAATAAATCAGGAAGAAGAGACCGACGAGTAGTAAGTGCAGGCAGTCAGGGAGTAAAACTAGCAGTATCTGTCTGGTTCTTTTCACCCAGTGGCGTAACACTCTTCCAGGGGCAGAAATCCTCGAGGACCTCGAAGCATTGTCTTCAAATGCTCGTCTTTTATCTAAACTTTCCAAATACCACCAATGTAATGTAATTTGCATTCCACACTTGCCTCTGATACCTCTCTAGTCTTGCTTTAAGCTCTGTGCTAAACAAGCAAAACTTTTGCAAGTTTCCTGGCACAGCCGCAGAGCAATAGCATTATGCATGCACTCTCCAAACATCACTGGCAAAGTCCTGCACATATAAAATATACGTGCATTCCAGTTGCAGTCATAGTCACAGAAGCAAAGCCATACCCAGATAATGGTACATAGAGGATCAAGGCGAATTTCAACACTTTTATCACAGACTCACTCATTACCTTGCCAGAAATGTTTGAAGTTCATGTGTTTTGGAATCCTGTGCCACCGTGTAATGCCCTGGGTGACATATGTAAGGCAAATACTAATTTCGATATGAGGTCTATGTTCTGCACCTAGTGCCTATGTATTGCTTACTTATTGCCTATGTAATGCCTTTTTCAGAGTACACAACAGTTGAAAGATCGATTACGACTCACATGTTCTCAATCTATGATCAAGATCTCGTCTTTATACAATAGAGAAGTCATTGACATTTTATCGAGATTTTTAAATTTTCCTTGCAATGCACCAACCAAACTACTATTATGGCTTTGTATAAAAGAAAAGGAAATTAGATGATTTATGAACTGAACAATTGAATACATATAACATAAAAGATACTTGTGTCTCTAAAAAGCTACAAAGAAATCATAACTTAACATCAATTGCATGGTTGTCTAGCAATTCATCATCATCTTCTCAACGGGTAAAAATGCTTTTCTTGTCCTTAAGTAGAACCACTTGCTTATATATTGCTTATTTATTCAACATAATGCCATATACAAACCAAAATAAATTACACGGGTAGCGCATACAGGGAGATATATTAAAACTCAATCATTACCAATCACTGAAGCAGTTGAGTGTGTCACCTGACCTAACTCAAAGGTTCTTTTATTAGGACCTTTGCAGTTTGCAGTAGTCCTCCCCAATACATAAAAGCTTTCTGCGAGAAGAATGGGTATCAATTTGAAGTTTCCCTTGGTGCTCCCTTGCTGAGAAAGAATTTCGGCGACCTACATGTGAGGAGGAGGGGAAACAGACCTGCATTATGTAGCTACAAAACATCACAGTATGGCAACCAATTATAGGAAAAGTACAATAATAAACTTGAACAGAGGGCCTCTAGCACAAGAATCTAGTGGTTTTATTCTCCACTTGTAAGTAGAGGTTCCAGGTTCGACTCTCATGGATGGCGAGTTCAAGACTTCGACTCTCATGGATGGCGAGTTCAAGACTTACTTATGACTAGCTTATTGTGTGATTTAACCCGAATCCCCTCCCCAAAATCATTGCATGATTTTTTTTTGGGAACTGTTATTAGCACTCCAAAAATCTCATTCTACACTCCTCACAAGTGTATTTTTCTTTCTAATTATAGAAAGCTTGGAGTGCCAATTGAGATTTTTGGAGTGCTAATAACAATTCCTTTTTTTTTTTTTTTAATAAAAAGAACGAAATTGAGGGCGGGAACAAACAAGGACAGAAATCAGTAGAGTTGGGGGAGGTTGTCAAAATCCTATGCTGGATTTCTTGGGGAAGATTGTGAGATAATACCCCAAGCAGTAAAACCATTGGTTCTAAGTTCTATTTCAGTGTCCAACACACCAGTTCACTTATTTCTAGCTGCAATGAACCTAGCATGTGCATAATATGCTTCTCTGCTCAGTGAACTATGAAATTGCAATATAGGAATAGCGCTTGCATAAATATACAAGGCATTTAGATATATTATACAACCCTAAATCAAATTTTCGGGTTGGCTTAAAGTTTGATGAGTTGACATTCATAATCTCATTGTCATTTACAATTGCAAACTTAAATAAAAAATCAACTTTTCTGGCATCAAATAAAAAATCATTGATCATAATATGCAGAAGAAAGCTTACCAGTAAAGCTTACAATCATATTATACAATGCAATGGAACGAACAAGAATCACAAGGAAACTGCCAAGCAGTTGACTATGGAAGAGCCTTTCGGAACTGAAAGAAGCTTATGGGACCAACCAATCTTTCCCCACAGCTCTCCTTCATCTCCCCTTCCCTCCACCTCAATTTCAGCACACCAAATCTCAATTTCTTTGCCATTTCCCTTCCTTCCCACAACACAACCAATTTCTCTCCCACATTCGCCATCGTAGCACCGCACAAAAACTTGGGCAGCCCCTTCTCCACACCCTTGAGCTCCTTCCAAGCCCTCTTATTCACATCAAACCCTCTGATTTTCCCCAAATAGTCATAGCAGTATAGAATCCCATGGACCACACAAGCCCTCCCTCTCCACCCCAAATCAAGCCTTTTCTCAACTCCTTCCCAAACCCCAGTTTTTGGATCGAAAACTACCCCGCCCCGGTCTGCCATGGCATACACGCGGCCGCCGATCACGGCACTCGCGTGCATCCACTTGCCACGGACCTCAATTGCAGAACTCGGCACCGCCTCCCAGCGGCCCTTCTCTGGGTCTAGAACCTCCGCCCAGTGCTCGGTCCGCGCCCACGAGTCCACAAGGCAGCCGCCGATGACGTAGACCCTTCCGTCCACAACACCCGCGGCGGCGAACTCGCGCGCCACCCGCATAGGGGGACCCGTTTGCCAGGTGTGAAAGCGGCAGTCGAGGAGCCACACGTGGGAGGAGGGGACGTCAGTTGACTGAGCCGCCGAGGACGTAGATGGTGGAGCCCAGCACGGCGTAGGCGGCGCCGAGTGATGGGGCGGGGATGGGTGGAACGGGGATGAGAAGAGGAGGAAGGTCGGTGGGGTTGGGGTTTTGGTAGAGTGTGAACCAGGCGGAGGGGTTATGGTGTGAGCGGAGGGTGAGGTAGAGGACATGTTGGGTCGAATTGAGGAGGGAGCGGGTGGTGAAGAAGAGTGGGGATGAGAGGAGGGAGCGGATGGGTCTCGACACTATCGACAGAGTCGGGTGGTACCAGCGGGGGACTCGGGCTATGCAGTTCAAAGCGACGTCGTCTGGGAGGGATGGGATCAGTTGTGCCGTTGCGGCGGCGGCGGTGGTGGTGGAGGTGGAGGTGAACATGGCTGTGCTTTGTGTCAGCTGATGGTTTATTTGATTAGATTTGGATTTTGGATGATGATATCAGACCTTCTCCAACACAAATTCTCAACTATTCGCGCCTCCAACAATTTTCTTCTCCAGTCTCAAAGGAATATACCCAAGTTTCCCCTACCGTCGAAAATAGGCGTTAGGTTGATATGGCCGAGTTGGTCTAAGGCGCCAGATTAAGGTTCTGGTCCGAAAGGGCGTGGGTTCAAATCCCACTGTCAACAAAAATCCTTTTTATTTTTTCTCTATTTTCCATGTAATTACGTATGCTGACGTGGAGCTTCGCCACGGGCTGTTGCAGAGAAAGTAAGAGAACTGTGTCTGCAGCAGATTGCAACTGAAAGGCACTACTGCTACGCTAGCTCAACTCCTGGCGCCAAACCTTATCCGCTCAAAGTAAACAACAGAGAGAGAGAGAGAGAGAGAGAGAGAGAGAGAGAGAGAGAGAGGCATGGCGAGGTGCTGCTTGGACATGGCTGCAAAGGCTGCTTCCGCTTCCAGTTTATTAGTAGCCTCCTCCTCTTCCTCCTCCTGACCTTCACCGTCCCCGGCAACTGCGAATCGGAGCTTCTTCCTCTGCTGTTCCTTCTGGTGTCGAGCTCAACACCCTCCAATCCGCCATTGCAAAGGTTCTTCTTCTTCTCCCATTTCGTTTTTGTTGCAATGCTGTTAGTAATTTCTCTTAAAAATTGCACCATTGGACACGGTTAACCATTGCTTAAATCACTCATTGAATTTGTATAGGCGTAAGTAATTAATTAATGTGCATGGAAAGTACATCGTCAATTGGTTTAAAGTCGGGTGCTTATTTTTCTCCAAGAAAAATCAACGAGTTGAATACATGCCCCGCATAATTAGTATTCGAATTAAAGTAGGAAGGATGTGATTGACAAGCATGTAACGTATCTGCATTTTCTTGCTGCAGAAAGATAGCAGTGCGGTTAAACAGGCACTTGATCAGCTAAGTGAAATTGGTTGGGCCAAGAAATGGAGTTCTCAGCCATATGTCTCGCGGCGTACGGTCAGTCTCCATCACAAGTGTCAAGTTCAAGTCCTCTACAAACCCATGCATACACGTACTATACTTGAATTGATGACGATCATCTTTTCAAAGTGTATTCAATCATGAATCTTAAATACTACACTATTTATTTACCTAATTGTTTCGAGTTCAATTCCTAATTTCAAGTGGATTCAACGTTTATGAATGCATTGGACCGTGCAGACTTCGCTTAGGGAGCTGACAACTCTTGGGATTAAAAATGCAGAAACTCTTGCAGTTCCCAGTGTCAGAAATGATGTAAGTATTACTTGTTCGGGTTGCGATACTTGCATCCTTCATCATAGCTTCTTATCCTTATGGTCTTTTGTGCAAACATTGTCTTCTTCTCTGTCACTGTCTCTCCCTGAATCTAAAATTTATGAATTGTATGAAATATGGGATTTGTATCAGACTAGTTTTCTGTGAAGTGTTAATATTGTTCCTCATACGTACAGGCGGCCTTTCTATTCACCGTGGTAGGGACAACGGGATTCTTAGGTCTTCTTGCTGGCCAACTTCCTGGGGTAAATTTGATTATATCTCCTTTTCTCTGTAAGTCCACATGTAAATTATACATCAACTATCTAAACAAACAATAGGAATAATTAGGAGACGTTTTCGCATTCCTACATATATACTTATGCAATGATTCTTTTAGGGAATTCTGTAGCATTCTATATTTGAGGCGAAAGCATGCATTTTGCTACTTGTACATTAATAGGTTCAAAGTTGTCTTTGCAAACCTCCCTCTTTGATATCGTGATACTTTTTGAACTTAACGGTCGCATTGTAATGCCCCTTGCATCAGAATATTACTTGTCTCTCTACTGTAGCTTGTTCCGTAAAAGTGGAAGTCAAAATCTGAGTTCCTTTGGTTGTGAATTGATCACGTATTATGCATGTATTGAATAGATGGTCAGGTTATATAGCTGCTCGACATTTTCTCTAAACAAAGAAATTAACTTCCGTATGCACACAACTTAAATTTTAAGAGAAGATCTAGACTGAATACATGGATTTTGTATCACCATTGCCGTGTATTTATCGACTGCTTTTTACTGACATCCATCTTGGTTTCTCTTGCACAATACTGTTGTTGTAGGATTGGGGGTTTTTCGTACCATACTTGGTCGGGAGCATCTCTTTAGTAGTTTTGGGTGTGGGAAGCACTGCCCCTGGGTAAGAGTAAGAGTAAGATTTTTTGTATGGAATTGAATTTTAATGCATCGATGACTTATTTATGTTTGGCAGTATTTATGAGTTATTACCAAGATTGAATTTTCTTCCATAAAAATTTATCTGTATCTACTGCACTTTAGGCTTCTTCAAGCTGCGATATCTGGCTTTTCATCATTTTTCCCAGACTATCAGGAGAGAATTGCTAGGCATGAAGCTGCTCATTTCTTAGGTACTTCATTAACACCAGATATTGTAAACTTCGTAAGTTTTTGTTAGTTGCTTTCTTGGCAATTTGCTTACTGATTACGAATTCTCTCTCTGAATAGTTGCATATTTGCTGGGCCTTCCTATTCTGGGATACTCTCTAGATATTGGGAAAGAGCATGTCAACCTTACTGACGAAAGGCTCGAGAAACTGATATACAGTGGGCAGCTCGATGCAAAGGAACTAGACAGGTAGGGGCATAGCTACTGGAAGTCTGGAACTTAGCATTTTCCTTGAGTAATATTCCACTTGTGAAACTGCAACAAATGTGCTCTTGGTTCGTTTGAGAGTAGTACAGCTTTCCTCTGTAAATCTGTTAAACGAATCATTCCCTATAAACTGGTTCGTTTTCATGCACAAACAATCCATTTGCATTAAGTAAACACCTGTTACAATGTCTTCACTTCACATAAACTTTATCAAAACAAATCCAATACATAATTGCAGTCCAATTCTGCAAAAGATGTCATGTGAAATCCATAAATTTTTATGGTACTTTAGGTTGGCAGTGGTAGCAATGGCTGGACTTGCAGCAGAAGGTCTGAAATATGACAAAGTGATCGGTCAATCTGCTGATCTTTTCACTCTACAGGTTAACCACCATTTCCCTAAGATTAATTGATATCTTTCAAGATAATATGTTTATGTGACCTTAGTTTCCAAGACTTACCTCTTTATGTCTCCTGTTCAGAGATTTATCAACAGAAGCAAGCCGCAGCTCAGCAAAGATCAGCAGCAAAATCTTACTAGATGGGCTGTAAGTTCATAATTATAAAACCTCCTGCATACAATAAATTACGCTTTTCTAGTAGTAAATAGTAGTGATGATGCTGGTAACTGTATGATGTATTGCAGGTTTTGTTTGCCGGATCGCTCTTAAAAAATGATAGGGTGATTCATGAGGCCTTAATAACAGCAATGTCAAACAAGGCAACTATCCTGGAATGCATTGAAGCAATTGAGAAAGCTGCTTGATTCATTCTGCTCTGCTGCTGCTGTCATGAAATCTGACATGCGTCTACTGCTTGATCTTTTTCGTTCTCTCGTCGTTCTAATTTTGCAGCTATGAAATTTGTGAGTTATCTTTTCCTACTGGATCACAAGATATATTCATTCAATCTGTATCAAGTAAACCCTAAGGCTACAAAGATCATTATTGTATCCTTGTATTCCTGCATCTCCATTTACACGGGACTTAAATGTCCGGGTGATCAGAAAATGTTTTCTATAATGTGGTAATTTGAAATTGCTCGAGGCTTGTAACTCAGTTGATTTAGATTTAGAGAAATGCGTCTTCTCCTTCCTGCTGTGATACAGCTTGTTAATGTTTAAATTGCTGATTCTTTTATAATTTACCCTAAGAAAAAGGGAAAAGTTTGAGCTTGGGACGCAGTGGTTTGAAGAGGAAGTTCTAACTATCAGGGCAATCCACTAGTTGCAGGATCTTCCTCCTCAATGATCTAAAAGACGAGAACAAGGAAATAAACAAAAATCGATATGGCACTTTATTTTGGTGGAAAAAACACCTACTATGCCATTTTATTCAGCTGCAATTTATACGATTCAAACGTTTTTATTCAAGTTACATAATTTGTTTCATGATTAATATCTGTATATAGATTATTCTGATACAACAAAGTCGACTCATTCATCTGACTTTAGTTCATAACCGAGTGAATGAGAGATGAAATGAGCATCCATAATCTACAGCCGCCCATACATCGACAACATATCCCTCAGTTGCAAAGTTTCTGACTCCAAGCTATCAAAGCTCGTGGAACTAGGTATCCTCCAACCCCAGTTTCCAAACTGCGCATAGAAAGAAAGACCATTGACATGCTTAAACTTTCTGCTCGAAAGAAAAGATTCGTAATATTCTAACTGTTATGTGAGGTAAAAATTAAAATGGTGGGGGGAAAGTGTATAGATAGAAGTAAACGAAAAGCCTAATAAGTGTTTTCATCTTGTCTCCGACCCCCTGAGTCCCAGTAACACGGGCTTTATAAGTTGGCCTAAACGTCCCGACAATAAAACAGCAAAGGCTGGGAGCACTCCAAGCATGACGATAATCTGATTTGGTCTGCACTCACCTGCATTGATCTCCATCCCCTAACCATTCTACCAACCAGGCGCCCATTACAAATTTATGTGCATCTATGTCTGAACTTCTACTTGTATTTACCTGAGTAGCAGGAATGTTCATCCTCGCAGAATTTCCCAACCTAAGAATATCTTGCATAGGTATGATTGCTGTTCGTGCCACAGAAGATAATGCAGCCTTTATGAGTTTCCATGAGATATCATCCTCTTCAGTGATTGAAAGATACTTCAGGACCTGTGATAACAAATAAAACTTTATAGGCACAAGAAAAAGAAGCTAAATCTTGTTCAACATGTAATGAAGAGTTCCGTATGCCAGGGAGAAGTTTCAACAACAAAAAGGAAAAGAAAACCCCACATTGGACTTCTCTTCTTGCTTCAAAACATCCCACCAACCTCGAATCTGTAATACAATAACATAAACTATTAGAAAGGGAAAAGAATAATCAGATGTCAGAATCATATGGGATTGGAAAAACCACTACAATGTTTTACCGTGTCATTGTCATGAGTTCCGGTGTAAACAACTTGATTGGGCTCATGATTATGCGGTAAATGAGGGTTAGCAGCATCACTTCCAAAAGCTACATAGGTCATTTGCAGAGGAGGAGGATATGACAACAAATCATCTAAGCTTAAAGTTATTTCTCAAAGCTAATTATAAAATACTATAGTGTAATCAACTGGAAAAGAATTCATTACCAAACTGGAGGACGACCATTCCAGGCGCCCCGATGGATTTCCTTAGCTGAATTACATCCTCAGTGATAACTCCCTGTCATGCATTTTGGATATGACATCACAACTTCGCAGAATCAAAGTTTTTGCACTTATAGTTATACGTTTTTTTTTTGGCTTTTTGGATGACTTGTATACAATCAACTAAAACATACCAAGTCTTCAGCTATTATGTTAATCTTCCCAACTGCTCTGGATATGGCGTCAAAAAAGGATTTTCCAGGTCCTGCCTACCGTCATTCAAATAATAAAAGTTTCAGATTGAATGTGATAATAAATAACAGAGTTTTAACTAGATTAAAATATATGGGAACCTAACCTTCCATCGTCCAACCGTTGCAACTTTTGCTTCTGTGCACACACCATATATTAGTGTGATAAAAACATCGATATGTCACAGGAGACGAGAACAAAAATCAGAAATATGTTTGGTAATTTCTCACCAGAAGGAACGGCCCAAAAACCAGCAAGTCCTCTAAAATGGTCTATCCTGAATTCATCATATATATTTTGTGCTCTTCGTATGCGGCGTATCCACCATGAAAATCCTTCTTTCTCCATTGATTTCCAATCATATAGAGGGCTTTGATTCAAACATTAAGCTTACAGTAAGCTCAGTGATATAGAATAGCACACTGACCAAAACAAAATTGAAGGATTATGTATGAGTAGTATAAACCTGTCCCATAGCTGACCAGTTTCACTGAAAGCATCAGGGGGAACGCCGCTAACTTGAAGAGGAAAACCATTTCTGTTCTGCAAGACTAATATATGATCAGTAAATAACACCTGGTACAGCATGTTGTGGCATGAACATGTTCCTTTACCCACTAAAAATTACTCACCAGCAAAAAATGTTTTTTATTGGCCCAAACATCTGCACTGTGATAACCTACGTAAATAGGCATGTCTCCCATGATACTAATTCCCTTCATCTGTGCATACTTGCGAACTTTCTGCCATTGCCTTTGGAACAAAAATTGTTCGGCAATGAAGACATTTATCTGCACAAACAAAAGCATGAGGGGAAATGGGCAATGATGGAGTTCCTGACAGTAAGTATACATGCGATAGCAAACTATTAATCAATAAGTAATAGTCAGTCACCCAGATCTCACAAAATGCTGTTTGCTCTGGTAAATTTCTTCCAGTGCTGCAAGATGGCGATTTTTTAAAGGTTCAGGCCACTCGTACCAACTGAAAGCATTGAAACTGCTGTCAATTGCTGCAAAATAAGCCGCATCCTCGAGCCAACCTACAAAATTGTAAAACAAGAATCACAACTAAAAGAGGGACAAATCTACACACAAGCACAGAATAGCACCCTAGTTCTGCATTCATAATTTCTTAGTGCATGTAAATTGCACCAAGGACCACAAGATACCAAGTTCAAGAAAATGAAAGACGGGATAGCTTTTCACTAAGTTGGTAACCAAAATTTTAATACTTTCTTGAAGTAATATAAAGAGGCTAGTTGCAACCCAACTCCATCTGTGGTATTTCTGTGTGAACTTTTGCGTGTGTTTATATATGTGTACATGTATTAAGCATGTGCGTGTATTCAAACTGACAGAACCCAGAACAATTAGAATTATGCCGATCTGAAGATTATCGAACAAGAACTAAATTTAATGTAATTTTACCACGTCTATTGATAATGATACAAATATTGGTGCACAAAATGAAAGAAGATCCAACTTGATATATCAGGTTAATTGTAGGAGAGAATTATTAGTGCAAAACAAGGAAATCTCACTTGATATATCAGGGTCATTACGGAAATCTTCAAGCTGACTTTTAAGTTCACCTTCACTCCTAATAAGCCTCTCTGCAGCCTGAGAAAGCACTCAACTAAGTAATTTTCTTTCGATATACAAGCAGAATCAAACTACATTTTCGCCCCCAAGGTTTGGGGGTGTTTTCTAAAATTGGTCACGAGATTTCAACTTTAGCAATTTGTACCCTGAGGTTTTAAATTACATCACCAATTTAAACATTTCGTCTGATAAACAGTTAAGCATGCTGTAAATTTGTTGATGTGGGAACTGCAAGGACCCACATTACTAACACTGACTTGTCGATAGAGAGGAGGATATACAACTGGTTGCATGGTAGAATTCGCCCAGTGGTGGTGGCATGCTGGAATGAGAAAGGGCTGGGGATGAATTTCTTCCACACATCAGCACAACAATGGGTTCCGCAGTTGCCACATCATCAATTTAAAGACAAAAACTGATGGTCAAACAGAGAGAAGCTTTAAACTGATGCAATGTTAAAATTGAGAAAATTGAAACCTCTTGGCAATCAAAGCCTCGTGGAAAAGGCATCCAACTGGCTCAATGCCCTTCATAGAGCCCAAACGTGAAAAAAAGAAGAATCAAGAAAGGTAACCCGAGAAACTCCATAAGAATTATGTTGGTCATAATCTTGATAAACAACACTTGGTAGTTGCACCAAATGGCAAAGACACGATCAAGAGTACTAGTTCTCAATTTTAGCAGAAGAGTCTAAGTTAACCATATGTTTCCTGCACTTTTCAAGTTTCACAGTTAGTTATCCAGGCAGATGCTTACCTTTAAACACAATAACCATATCCGTTTCACACGGTGCAACATCACAAGTGTTCACTAGGCAGTCTGAAATGAAAGTCATGTATCGGAATTGCAGAAACTCTAGCAGTAGCAACATTGTTTACCTTAGTTATTAGAGGATCCTTGATGTCAGCAACAGTTGAGTAGTTCACACGCTCAGAATCACTGCATTGAATTGAATCAGTGTCACACTACCATCCTAGAGAGAGAGAGAGAGAGAGAGAGAGGGAAGCTTACATCGGTTTTGGAAGCTCTTCCTTTGTCAACAAACCATCCTTAACCAGCTCCTCAAGAGATATCAACAGAGTGTTACCACAATTTGCATCCTGAAAAAGTCATCACCCATCCATCAAGCTCACTTAATTTAAGGGGCCGTTTGACAATCATTTTGTTTTCACTTTTAAAAAAAAACTAAAACTATGAAATGAAATGGTTAACAAACGGCCCTTTAATTACGTAAACTTTGCAATTTCAAATCATCAAATATCGCCTTTTTTTTTTTTTTACAATTCAATTTATTCACATATGAGACAAATGAAATGAATCTGAGTGAGCAATTGGGTTGTTAGGTTGAACATTTTACCTGACCCGAGTAAGGGGATCCTCCTCGTTGGCTTTGCGACCAGGAGGGACAAGCGGAAGCACCTGCCAAAGGGAGCAACCCCCCTCATGAAGCCAATCTACGAACCGAAACGCCTCATCTCCGAGATCGCCAATGCCGTGGGGTCCACGGAGCGACGTCGGGTGGAGCAGCACGCCCGCTCTTCTGCGCTCGCTCGGATCGGCCTTGGGGAACATGTCGCCGTAGTCGAGGGGCCAGTCCTCGCCGACGCCGACTTTGGCGTCAAGAGGAGAAAGGACGGAGCATTTCATTGGGCAGGGGTTCTGAAGGAATGGAATAACTCTGGTTTTGGGTTGGAAGTGGGTGGGGGAGAGGAGGGAGGAGGTGGAAATTGAGCAGCAGGAGGAGGAGGAGTTGGCGGAGAGCTTGGGAGACAGAGTGGAGGGGAGGAGTGAAAGAGAGCTATTCAGTTTCAAGGCCATTGGTTTTCAGACTTCCAAGAGAATCGAGAGAGAGAGAGAGGAACTGTGGAAACGTCGATGGTGATGGTGATGATGAGGAATCAATGATCGGCATTAGGCATTACTGAAGATATTATGTATTATTGTTGTCCCTTGCCCAATAAAATGCATGAATCTCGAGTGTCATGTGCATTGGTTATTGGTCCGCATATCAGATCGATGACACGGCGAACCGTCATCGGCGTTCTATTTTAATAATATAAAAATAGAGAACTTTAATTAAAAGGGTTTCTCAAAACTTTTAATTAACCAAAAACTATTTACTAATTTTATTTAATAAAAAATGCTTAAACTTAAATAAAAAGAGTTCAAATTTTATTGAAAATGACAAAAATTTTACATAATAACAAAAAAAAAAAAAAATCAACAAATATTAACGTGCAGGACCACGTGTCACATCACATAGATATACATACACATACACATACTTTTTCTCACTCAACCGTTCAACATCTTTCTCTCTTGGAGTAGGATTCCTTTCCCTCTTTTTTTCCCTCCCCTTCCCTCCTCTCCTAATTAAATGGTCATAATTAAACCATGTCAATATCTTATATTAATTTTTTTATAAAAAGAGAAAGACAAAATAGATAATGTGAGGGGAATAGATAAAAAGAGAATGAGAGAGAATCCTAATCATTCTCTCTCTCTCTCTCCTTCTTTCACATATTCCCATCAATTTTTCTTCTCCTTCACCTCATTCATTCACATCAACTTTTTCTCTCCTTTTTTTTTCACCTCTCCTCACTCTTCTCTCTCATTTCACCTCACCCCATAAACAATTTATTTTTTTTTTTGTTATTTGTTTATTTGATTATTGTTTCAATTTTTTTATAACAAACTAAGTACTAATATTACAAGATCAAAAATAAAGAAAAATTTCATTATTCAGCTTTTACGAACACTAAAACTGTCACTATTTATTAAACATAACATTGACTACTTCTTAAACTAAACACTATTTCTTAAACTGAACATTGACTACTTCTTAAACCGAATTGAACATTGACTATTTCTTAAACCGAACACTTTTTCTTAAATTGAATATTGACTTCTTCTTAAACTGAACAATATTTTTTAAACTAAACAATGACTATATATTAAATGGAATACTAATACCATCACTATTTCGTAATATGAACACTGGCTATTTCGTAAACTATTGACTATTTCTTAAACTGAATGTTAGTACTATTACTATTTCGTAAACTAAACATTGACTATTCTTTTAAACTGAGCACTTTGTAAACTAAACACTGATTATTTCTTAAACCTAAGAACTATCACTATTTCGTAAACTAAATAGACTATTTATTAAACCAAGTAATAGTACTATCACTATTTCGTTAACTAAGCACCGACTATTTCTTAAACCAAATACTAGTATTATCACTATTTCATAAACTAAACTATTTCTTAAAATCGAACACTAGCACTATCCCTGTTTTTTAAACTAAACACTAACTATTTTATAAACTGAAAACTAAAAGGTTCAAAATTTGAAGCTCTCTTCTCATTATCATATGAATCACTAGCAATAATATTTATATTCTTACAGAGTTAGAATAATGATTTTCACATTCCTATTTGTTCTTTAACATTTCTTCAAACAATTTATTTGACTTTCCTTTAATTTATTCAATACAAAATTAACCACCAAAGTATAAACGAAAGATCAGAAAAGCTAATGTGCTTTCATTGAGGATCATAATCTAATATTTTTTATTTTTAGGTTTTAGCTGCTTAGGGTTAAAATTAATAAAGAATTCCATAATTTGAAAATGGGGTGATGATGAGAGGCTACTCCACATGTAAGGCTAGGTGGTAGTCATGTATTGACGTTAGTTTAAATGGATTTGGTTGGCATTCTCTTCTTTCTACCCTCACAGTCTCTCTCTCTCTCTCTCTCGCTCTCTCTCTCTTTCTCTTTCTCTCTCTAAACCTTTTCCTTTCCGATGAAATACTTAAAAAGTAATTTGTGTGCTGCTTTTGCACTATTGATTTTCTGTTGAATTGGTTGATGCTTGATTTCGCACTGATTGTGTGCGCGCGCGCTTTGGGTTGAATAAGTTTTTTTATTTTTTTTTTATTTTTTATTTTTTATATTTTTTTAATCTCTTGTCTTATTATTAAATAAAGTTATTAGGTGACTATTGGTTAAAGTTAAAAGTTTTGAAGCCATTTTCATTAATTTTCCTATAAAATATCTCTTTTTTTTACATGTTCTTACATTATTAGTTTAGAATACCACCGTAATGATGTAGACGTGTCATACATGACTTTTTGTGAAATAAAATAAACACCAATTAGAGCTGTATAATTTGTTAGAAGTGAGAAATAAGATAGTGTTCCGGTGTCAATAAGGATATGTGTTAGTTTTTCTCCACTTGTACTTACATCATAGGCACGGGACACTACCGTAACGATGCACCTGTGCTATACAAATAAGTCATGACTAATGTGAAATAAAATAAACACTTATGTTACAAAAGCGATAAAAGTGTTTCATTACCAAAACAATCAAGCACAAGAGGTACCAGATGAATACATAATTTCCAACAATCGATTTCTTGATCTAGTGATATTTCACACAAAAAAAAAAAAATTTTAAACTCCTAAACGATCACCACCGCAAGGACTACTTGAACCAATAATGACTAGAGAATGACACCGCAAACACTATATTAGCCGCCACCACAAGAGACCACCAAATCGGTTAGAGCTGTATAATTTGATAGACGTGGCAAAATGACGTCTATGAGTGCCATTTATCTTGAATAGGACTAGTAAAGGTGGTGATGATGTATTGGTAGTTGTGACGGTGATATTGTTGTAATATACTTGATTAGTGTGTGTTTATATCAAAATAAATCATTACTAAAAAGACTTCCATGAATGAAGATCTTAGTAGATAATAAAATAAACCATCGGGATCTACCTACATGCTTTACTTCAATCTCAAGTAGGGGTGGGCACGGTGCGGTTCGGTGCGGTTCCATCCCTAAATTGGAACCGAAACCGAAATATATTAACGGTTCGATTCGATGCGGTTCCACTTAAATTTATTACTAGAACATTACGGTTTGGTCTACACTGGTTCCGATTTGGTTCTTGCCGGTTTACGGTTCCTAATAATAAATTATTTGAACACCAAATCATTATGCATTCAAATACATCTTCTAAAACTGATTACATAAAGTTGCATACAACACATTTTTTTAATGCAAATGTCTTTGTTAGTGGCACCAAGTCAACAAAAAGAGACAACTAAAATACATATGCACTGGTCAATCAGTCAACAAACAAAAAAATGATGAAGCAAATTGCAGGTTTTCAGACTTCAGAGAGCAAGCAAGAAGCAGCAGCTCCTGTACACAATTTTTCAACCTATTTTTCAACCTTTTATACCATGACATGTGTGTGTATATATAATTTATTTATTTATTATTAATAAAACGGTTCGGTTCGGTTCGGCCGGTTCTTGGTCATTCGAAACTGGAACCGGAACCGGTTTGAACGGTTCGGTTCGGTTTTTCACTCAAGGTTGACTTTTCCGGTCAACACGGTTTTTTTCGATTTTTTTTTCTTACGGTTCGATGCGGGTTTGCGGTTTGGTGGTTTTTATGCCCACCCCTAATCTCAAGTTAAAGCCATTGACCGCTTTGCACTTCTCTCTATGCAAGATTTGCAACATGTGCAGATCTAATTAGGACGACAATTGTTGCATGATAGAAAAAGAGAATTTGAAGACATTAGACACATTTACAACATCTCTAATTACGACCTTAAAAGGAGTCCTTACAAACGCATAACCTATTACCCCAGTTCAAATAGATCATTGAACTATTGTTTTTGATAAATCAACCTCCTAAATTTTTTAAAATCGGCCAATTTACCCCTTACCGTAGATTCCGTCTACTATTCTGTCAAATTCAAGGGCAAATTAGTCTTTTCATCATCAATGCTTACTTGTCGGTTATAATCACCAATAAAATAATAACATGTGGATACAGAATAATTCAAAAACTTATAGCATAATATGAAACATAAAGAAACCAAACGTTTACATAACAGACCATTTCACATTGTCATTACACATTATTATGGATCCCCATGTCATAATTTTATTGATTGTTAAAAGTGACATGTAAGATAAAAAGTCTAATTTGCCCTTGAATTTGACAAGATAGTGGACGGAATCTAACGACAAGAGGTTAATTGGCTTGTTTCAAACAGTGTTCTAAAAATCGGCCTAGGTGTTGGAAGGCAGCGAACCGCTGCGCTTAACTCCTAATCAGCTACAAAATCGAAGAGTAGATTAGGTGGGCGTTGGATGAGATTAGGCGGGACTAGGCGGAGATATGCAAGTCTGGGCGGGGCTAGGTGGAGCTAGGTGAAGACTAATCAGGCTTATATGAAGACACTGGAATCTGCAATTTTTTTTGTTGCAGAGTCGGCTCTGCGAAGAAGAAGACTGTTCCTAACCTGATTTACTTACACAATTCCATTAAGATGGTCCCACCATCTTTTATCTATAGTTGCAACATTTTCTTTGAAATGGTCCCCACCATTTTTTTTTTTACTTTTCATTACGTTTTCTTTTATACTCTTTTCCATTACTTTTCATTCTTTTTTTTTTTTTTTTTTTTTTTTTGTAATGTTTTATTATTATTTTTTAAAGATCATACCATATGTATTTTTATTATGTACTTAAAAATTCTTATCCATGAATTTCATTCAATTATAATTTTTTGTAAGTGTCAATATGCACTTATTTACAAGATATACAAGAAATTTACCTAAATCCGCCTAACCCATCTAGATCCCGTTTAGCCGCCTAGGTGCTAGGCACCAGCCCGCCGCTTGACTAGCGCCTATCGTTTTTTAGAACCTTGGTTTCAAACAGTTGAGGGGGTTAGTTTACCAAAAAAATAGTTTAGGGGGTTAGTTACAAAAATAAAAAAAAAAAAAAAAAGAGGAAAGACAAGGTTACGTGTTTGTCATTTCCGGGCAAGAAAACACTTCCCAACATGGTTACAACCGTGCAAAGTAGCTTGGTTTAAGGCTTTTTTTTTTTAAAAAAAAAAAAAAAAAAAAAAAACTAGATAAGATTTACGGGCAAAACAACCAAAAGAGTACAAGTAAGCCCACAAAGAGGCAGACAACCAGAAACTACACCACAAACAAGCAATGCAAGGAGATACAAGGATCCTGACGTCGCATCTGATGCTAAAATGTCACTCCCTATACTACCCTTCAAGAGAACTAGTGTGGACAAGGAAGTCCATCATTGCGAAGCACAAAAACTAGGGAAGATGGAGGTCTGAGAACCCAAACCCCAATGCTCATCTCCCGACATCGCCACAACGCCACAAAGTGCGCAGCCTTGTTAGCTAATCTTAGAATCGAAGACCAACGATAGACATGGAAAGAATCTTCCAAACGAATACACTGCTGAAGAAGAAGGAAAGCTTCCCACCTGCCCTTCGAAGGCGAGTCCCGCAAAGCTAAAATGGTTTCAGAGGAGTCAGATTCAAGAACCATAGAATGCCAACCCAATTGATGACCAAGCTCACATCCAATCTAAATAGCCAACGCCTCTGCCATAGTCACACTCCGAGCCTTCACACTATATCTACCTGCACCCAAAAAACCCCAGCATTGTTTCATGCAACCACCCCAACAAAACCCCAGCCCAATAATGACGCTTCCCAACTAGTATCCACATTAAGGGCTGGTTTGATATTGTTGTGCTTTAAAAAAAAAATTGCTTCTGCTGTATTGTGAGAATAAGTAGCTGTGAAATAAAGCAGTAGAGTGTTTGGTAAACTTTTTTATAAAAGTACTTTTGAAAAAAAAAAAAAAAACAGTATTATAGTGTTTGATAAACTTTTACGTAAAACAGATGTGAAAAAAGCTGGTTTTTCAAAGCTGGGTTTTGCAATTTTGTGTTTTTGACTTTTTTTTTCATCCAAAACTGTGAAAAAAGACTAAAGTTGAATGTTTATCAAACATAAAAAAACTCCCAGCTTTTTTTTATAGCCATTTTTTTTCATAATCACCTCAGTACTAAACTAGGGCTAAGCTTGATAAACCCCGGGCTTGGAGGAGTCCACGTGACAGGTACCACCGGTAATGGAGGAGCATTTGTCCGAGAGCCAGTTACCTGAGTAGCATGCAGAAAAGCGCCGATAGAATTAGAAATTTCAAAGACTACCTTCGAGGGATAAATGGGTTGATGGTTGAAAAGGAAATTGCAGCGGGTTTTCCATGTATTCCAACATGTAAAAGCAATATAAGAGCTTTACATTTGAAACCCTATAGGGAGATCAGTCGGCATACTGAAATTGGAAGATATAATTAATACAAAATTCGTATAATAATTTGGATTTATTTGACTACAGATCTCTCCTTGTAAACTGTAATGGTTAATTTTACAGAGGATGACGAACTCATGAACTTAATTTGATACTATATTTATACACACACACACTCAAACACAACATTCACTCCTATCACATATGTAAATTGGTCATTATTTATTAATCTAATAGTATTTGCTCTGCTTGTTTGATGACTTTGGAGATGGGAAAATCGATCCAGCAATCACTAAGGTAGGTCGGTGGGATCATCGTAAAATAAGCCATCCACAATCTGGTCAATGAGCGAGTCAATTAACGTGTTGCAGCTCAAGCTCAAGATCCGACCCACTCGGGTTCGGGCACTGGTGAGCCATGCACAAACCGCCGCACACGTCACCGCAGCCAAACACACCCCAGCCGCCTCCGCAATCCCCTCCACCTCCACTTTCCTAAACAACGAGTTCCCGGTCACCACCTCCACCGACACCGTCAACGCGAAAACCACCATCGCCAGCCGACCCGACAGGATCTCGAAATCCTGACTCTTCTTCGAGCTCTCGATGTACTCCGACAGCGTCGCGAAGAACGGCGACGTCGTTTCGTCCTTCGTCTTCATCACCCTGACCAGATCCGAGCCGTACGATCTCAGAGTGCAGAGCCGAGGCTGAAGCACGATCTTCGCGCTCTTCGGATCTGAAGCCGCCGGTTTCGGAACCTGAACCGGAGCAATCGGTTCGACGCCGCGGACCGCGGGGCTTTGGAACTTCCTCAGCTCGCAGCGAATAACGCGCGCAGCCATCGCCATGGAGGGCAAGTAAACGCGCCAAAACGGTGTGTATAGGTGGAACTGGGGTTTTGGATTTTGGAGTGAAGGGTTGGGAATTTGAGACGGTTTGGGATATTAGTGGGTGGCTTGTGAGGTGGAGGAGTTTGGGAACGTGGTATCTGTTTTGCTCGCTAACGTGCCTTTCACTAAATAAATAAATAATTAATTAATTAATGAAACAGTATTTGGCCGGTATGTGAAAATGTGATGTTGTCGTATGGTTATTGGGAGACGCTTTTCACACAACTCTGTCTTGCGTTCTTTGTTAATTACTGTTTATTATTATTATTTTTTTATTTATTGGATTAGTGGTGGAAAATTAAAAAAAAAGGTTGAATTACACAAAATATCTTAACTATGGATCGAACTACAATCTCATACCGCATGTTTTAAACATTGCAATGTCATACCTCAAATATGAATTCATTACAATGTCAGACCTCTGTTAAAGTTTTTATTAATTTGACTGTTAAATGATAACGTGACAAAAATAAGGTCCACTCGTTTCCTAAGACCATCTCAAACAATGACCTAAAACCTAAAATTTTCCTTTTTTCCCCCCCAAAATCCACTCCAACCCATGACCTAAAATTAACCTAAAACCTAAAACTTATTCTGAGGCCAAATACCAGCCCAATTTTAGGCCACAAAGCAAAATGGGTCCCACCAACTGAGACTGAAACAAGGGCTGTGAAGCCCACTGCCCAGCTTCCACTCGCCCAGACAGAGAGATCATGCCTGCACGCGCCAAAGAATGATACAAGCCGGGCCCACCCACGTGGGGTTGTCCCCCGGGTGTCAGCCGACTATGTAGCCCAACGACTACTTTTTTCAATCCAACGGCTGGATTTAAATGGGCCGTTGGTTAATCCAACGATCCAGGTTCAAATTATTATTTTTTTTAGTTTTATATTTATATATTTATTGAATCCAACGGCTTAGATCGAATATAATCAAATTTAACGGTAAAAAAAAAAGATCTAACGGTCCAAATTTAAATCCAACGGCTAAAATAATTTAAAACAATTATTTAACTTAAAATTCAACCAAAAACTCTATAAATACCTATCTATGTGTTCAAACATCCACACAAAACTCACTTTTCTCCTACAATTCTTCCAATTTTTCTTTCTACCATTTCTTCTCATTTCCAAATTTTTCAAGATGGCAAAAGAGCATGTTAGAGGTCGTAATTGGACCTTTGACGAAGATATTGCTTTATGTTTGGCATGGATTTCTGTTAGCGAAGAAGGTGCCGTTGGCACGAACCAAAATAGAAAGGTTTTGTGGGGTAAAATCGTTGATAAGTTCCATAAAAACTCCAACGCCGGTCGAAGGGAAGTTGGTGGTGTTTATGATCGGTGGAAGATTATCAACAAAGCGTGCACTTTGTGGAAGGGAAGCTTGGAGAAAGCCATGGTTGACATGCCTAGTGGAAGGGGCGCCTCAAAAATTGTGAGTTTATTTGTTGATATTTTAGTTGTCATGTAAATAATAGTATTTTGCAACTAATTATTTTTATGTATTTGTTGTATAGGGTGACAAAGCAATGGCAATTTACAAGACAAGAACTACACCAAAAAATCAAGCTTTTAAGTTGCATCATGCTTGGAACATTCTCAAGGATTGTCCGAGGTGGGGAACCTGATGCGAACCAACAATGTGGAAGATTATTTCATAGTGAAGCCCCACCCCCAAATGATGTTAATGAAGGTGTGAATTTTGCCGACAATGAAGGTGTCGAACAAATGACCCCAACTTCTTCTTTTGCAAGGCCCCCCGGTAGAGATAAGCAAAAGGAAACAAAGAGAAAAGGGAAGTCCCAAGATCCGACACGTGCCTAATTTGCTAGCGAAATGGCAATAATGAACGAAATCCAGTGCCGTTGGCAAGAAGAATCGCCCCAAATGCTTTTGGCCATGAAGGAAGAAGGCGATAAGGAGCAAGAAATGTACGAAACTAATTTAATAATGGAGGACCTCGACAAATACACTCCAGAGAGGAAGAGATACTTACGTGGTAAGCAAAAGGAAATTTTACGAAGGAATGCCACAAGGAGTATATTTCAAGATGATGATTCATCTCAAGACTATCATCCAAGTCCATCACCAAGTCAAGATGGTGAATATCATTATTAAGTTTATGTATTCTATGAGTTTTCGATTGTATTAAGTTTATGTAGTTTATTAATTGTTTTTTTAATTTTTTAAGTTTATGTGGTTTATTAATTGTCTTTTTTATTTTTTAAGTTTATGTGGTTTATTAAATGTCGTTGGTATTAAGTTTATGTGGTTTATCTTGATTTTCATGCATTGATTTAGTGATTTTTCAAAATTTATCGGAATTTAAATATTTTTAGGTTACAATGTTCATAAAACTAATTTAGGATAGTCTACATGAATTTTTTTTTTTTTTTTAAAAGTTAATTTAAAAAAAAAATAGCCTTAATTCATTCTTTGATAATCTGGGGTTAAAATTTTAAGCCAGAAGGGTTGGAGTAGAAAAGCTGTTTTTGGGCTAAAACCTAAATTTTCTGGGCTAAATATTTTTAGATTTTAGGTCACCATTGGAGATGGTCTAAACTGAAATAAAAAATTAATTAATCATTCATTTTTTATTTAACAATTAAAATTAATTAATAAAAAAACTCTCTTCCTCACTCTCCCTACTCTCACTTATCTCCTTTTTTTTTTTCTTCATCTTTCTGTCCTTCTCCCATGCTTCTTCAATTCCCGTAAAACAACATCAATCAACCACAACCTGCATCTCCGCCTACAACCAATCATCTCCACCACACTTGCATCTCGCCTGCAACCAACCACAAACAAGCAATCTCACTTCACCTGCAACCAACCACAAACCAGCAATCTCACCTGCATCTTGTTGGCACTCCCATATCGTCCACCTACCTGCACCGCTCGAACCCCTTTTTTGACGAACAATCCTCCCTCCCAGAAAAGCAAAGACTTCAACTTTCTGTAAATTCATGCTTCTATTCAACAATTTACTCATAATTTAAAAATAAAAATAAAAATAAAACTTAATTTGCAATCTACCATTCCAAATTTCCACATTTTCCCAATCAAATTCCAAAAATGCCATCTCAGAAACCATCTGAAATCATACAAACCAAAATCCCAGTCGCCCATTGGCTAACCCTCCAAATCCAAAGTATCAGAGTCTCTTGAAATCAACCTTGTTCGTAGGGTCGTGTTCTGGGAATCGGGAGCTTGATGGTATTCCCAGACCCTTTATTTACGAAGCCCAGACGCGATCTTTTTTAATCAGCCCAGATCCGACTCTTTGAATCAATCATGTTCAGCAATTTGGAGCTTGACGGTGATGCCCCTTTCTCTCTCCAAGTCTGTTCTTGAGAAATTGGGACCTGATGGGGGGCGACGAGCCATTGTTTCTCTGCAAGTGAGAGCAGAGAGCGTGAGAGAGGAAGACAAGTGAGAGGAGAGAAAGAGTGAAGGAGAGAGTTTTTTTTTTTTAATTAATATTGTGAAATAAAAAATTAATAACTTATTAATAATTAATTAATTTTTTATTTCAGTTTAGAAAATAAGTGGGTCCCACTTTTACCACGTCATCATTTAACAATAAAATTGACAAAACTTAATCGAGGTATGACATTGCAATGAATTCATAAGTTGAGATATAATATTGCAATGTTTAAAACATAAGATATGAGATTGTAGTTCGACCCCATAATTAAGGTAATTTTGTGTAATTTACCCTTAAAAAATATGTGACAAGTAAAAAAAAGTGTAAGTGTAACGCCATTCTCTATCCACCTTTAAGTAAGAATTTATAGGTTTGATTTTTATTGAAATCCAGTTTTAACCAAATTATTAGAATTGACTTACCATGTTAGCCCAAGTTCTCTATTCTCTTTATGCAATTATCTCCAATTGTATCGTCATAATATATATGAGCAGAGTTTCTACACAAACCTATTTCTGCTCCATTCACAGAAATGATCGAAACATGTCATATTATAAATTATAGGATAGGATTATATTTACAAAAAAAATCAATTAATAATTAGACCACCATCCTAATCACGGGTCATTTTAAATCATGTTATTGGTCAGGTTACCACCCTAATACCAGCCCAATGTTTGAATTTAATCTTTCTTTTCTTTTGCCATTTTATATAACTGTCTAATGATACTCTATTTTAATTGTAAGTGAGATGTTTAAAGTTTGATTCTAGCCAAAAAAGAACTTGAACCATATTATTGCTAACTCATTATGAGGCTAAATCTATCATCTCCCATTAATGTATATAATATCGTTTGTTAAAAATAATTTCTTTGTTTTTTGAGACCGTAAGTTTAGAGTGGTGATACCTATACACCTCTTTTTACCTTCTTCACACGCCTGTTAATTTCTTTTATTTGGCCTGTTTTAATTTATTCGATATGCCTATCGAAAAATAAGAGAAGTGTGTCAATATCATCACTCAAAGTTCAATAAATAAAAAGAGGCATTTAGATCTAAGTCCGAAATCTTAAGTTGCATTTAGATTTAGTATAGTTCCATTTTCTTAGCAATTTAGTTCAAGTTGATTTTTTCTTATGCCCGTTTTACTCTCTATAGTAAAAGTGAAATATTTGTAAATTTCTTGGTTTATGAATCAATTACTGGTATTTGAATTTTAAATTTTGAATCGTTAATCCATAGCCTACTGTTAAGTTAAATTTTGAATCTTGTTAATTTTTTTTTCTTTTTGAATCATTTACTTAAGTGGTGGATTGCTTTGTGGTTAGGGTCTTCCTTTGCAAATCTCTCCTAGGTTCAAATCTTCACCACTTCCTCATTAGTGTAGATTAATGTACAATATTGCTTGTACTAAAAAAAACTAATATACTAACAAATATATATGTTTATCAACAACATAAACAATGTTATAGATAGATAAATACAATACTTTTTTGGTCAATGAGAATTTTTATAACAAAATCCAAAAGGACAAAGTACAATGACTCCGCTGGAAAAAGCAAGAAATTAAAAAAACAACAATCCCATAAAAGGTATGTACAAACATAATGTCACATATGCTTACAATGCATGAGTAAAGGTTCATATTCATACCCAAAATAAAATTTACATAGG